TAGTAAGGTGTATAATTATTATTGTATAAGAAAAATACTTTATTAACTACTTCAGTAAAAGTCGCTTCGACATTATAAAATATTGAAGAATGTTCATAATTTCCAACTTAGTTCCCTGGGAAAATGAAGTTAGGCGCGCACCGACGACTTATTACTCTATTAATAAATCGCAATAACTGTTCGACCGAGAAAAACTTAACTTAAGTTGGTTAGATGCAAATCCTCACTATAAATTGGCGAGGCGCGGACGGATTTGAAGCATTAATTTGTGGTAAATCGTGTGGAAAATGGAAATTTTGTGCAGCCTCCGGCTTCCACGGTTTGACAAACTTACGTTTTCCTTTCCACCACCCTTGAGGATATATCGAACCATTCAATTTTCAACCCTAACATTTTGAACTTTAAGTTTCGTTTGACGTGTGCTGTATTTCAGGATGGAAAATAGGATAACCAAGAGCGTGGTTGCGTGAGACGTGATGAGAATGTGCGCCACGTTTTTAATAAGGATCGTAGATTTTATTTGTAAATATGATATGAGCGTGACGTACACAAGTTGATTAAAGTGAATTTAAGATAATGTTGAAACTCCGAGTCTTTTCTAAATGAAGGATACATCAAATAACGTTGCATAAAAACGGTCAAACTACGATCTACGTTGACAGCTATGACTTTCGATGACATCTGACTCTAGGTGTGATAACTGAACTGACACCGATCAGCTGCCAAATCATTCTTGTGTCCAAGATAAGGCATTGACGAGTTAGAAAAATTGCACTGGACTTTATCCAACAGATAGATGACTGACACGCTCTCCTGGCCTTCGGAGTGAAGTGAAGCGTCACCAAGAAGTGTCAGTAACTGAAACACTGAAATCACGGTACAATATTGTGGATAAGTTCCATAAACGCCTTCAATCAATCTTTGACAGATCTCACAGATCAAGCTCTTCAAAGTGCAAGCGAAAATTCGGCATGCATTTTTTTCAAAACAGACCAGTTATTTGTTTTTCTGTACTATATAACAAGACTGATCACTGAATTCCAGAATTCCAGAATAA